CTTCAACATATTAGGGAGGAAGAGGTTGCCTTGGACACAGCAGAACACACTGTTTCACAGGGGAATCACACAGGGGCTCTCTTTGAGGAGAATGTAATGCCCCAAGCACAGTGTGTAGACACTTGGAGGAATATTACACATAGAACTAATAGGATCATTTTGTAAGTTTGAAGCTACAGAATCAATTTGAAGTTATATCCAGCATCAGTGATTATGCGGAACAAGAAATGAATCAAAACTTGTCCTTGGGGAATGTGTAGGTGCCCCTGGAAGAGTCAGCACATGGAATGGCTTCTGCCAAACCTCAAAGAAGATGTGTTATGATGATAGGGGACCTCCTGCTGAGGACTTGACAGCATAACTCAAAAATCCAAGATGTAACAGAGAGGCTGGCAAGACTTGTCAAGCCAAGAGACCATTATCCCTTCCTTTTGGTCCATGTGGGAACCAATAACAGTGTAAGATGTAGCCTTTAGGAGATCATGGGATTATGAAGCTATGACAGGAAGCTGAAGAACCTTAATCAGGAATAGAGTTAGAGATCTGTTGAAAATAAATCTCTTCTGAAGGGTTCCATGACCAAAAAAGTCTGGGAACCGCTGTCGTAGTTAATGTATTGACCATTACTTTACTAAACACAGTGCATTTACCCAAGATGAGTATTCATCTATATAAGCAAGGTGTGTGCACCATAGGTGCTTGGGTATAGTGGACATATAATGTAGAAAGAAGCTAACATCTGCTAGTTAAAGCTGCTAGGCTGGTGTTGTGAAGAATCAAAGAGCTCCCTTTTTTACTTGTTAGAGCAGCATTGCCAGTGGTGTTTGGTTACCCAAATATCTTTTCCCACACACAAGGCAGAGTTAATCAGAGAAGTAGGAAATGCCTATTGTTTCAGAAAGGAAATGACTAGTTTCTTGGACATGGTAGAAAACACAGATGTCATCATTTGTTTAAAATAGGATCTCTTTGTGATTTGAAAAGGTTTTGTGTGTGTGTTTGTGTGGTATGAAGGAAAGGCCACATATACTGCTCTGGGAAAGAGAGAATGGGAACAAACACAGGCTAAATACAGAAAAATGAGGCACAGAAAAAGAAATGGAAAGAAGAAGCCTGGATTTAGTGAAAATTAT